AGTTGTTAACATTCAGTGTGAGCATGAAGGAAGCACACAGCACGGTCTGTGTTCTGTGATACAGGCCCACTCGCCCTTCTAGTTCATCAGATGGGCCTGGGTTCCAGTCACCTTCCCACTTCACTTCACATGTCCCCTGAGAGGCAACACAGCAGACGTCACAAACACGGCAAACACAGCCAGGAACAAGCTGGCAAACCTCTTCAACAACAGCTCACAGCAACACACCTGGCAGAAACACACCAGGTCATGGCAAGAGTGTGCGAATGAGGTGCCTTTCAGCAGTTTCAAGATTCCTGATCACTGTATGCATGAAGTTAAAAATGACCATGGCTCCAAGGAAAGAAGAAGAAGAAAAGGCTTTATTCCCAGGTAGTTTCTAATGCATGTGAACCAACATGTATTTTCCAAGCAGGTGGATTTTTTAACTTTAATTCATTCCATGATTCTGCCAACTCAGTCTTACAGATAAAAACTGAATTTGAAAATTTATAAAATAGCAACATCAATCTGTAATAAAAGCTGACTACCAAAAGTCTAGGCTGACAATATTTTTAAAACAATAAAGCAAACATATGCCTAAATGAAAGAAGCTACAACTTCACTGGTATTCTAAAATTTAAGATTAATTCTTGGCCAGGATTGTGCCTACCATGTCAGAACAGACATCACAGTCAGAAAAGTCATATATTGCAGAAATGGTTTATTATAAGGAAACCTGCCATCTGGCTTTAAAAGCTACACAAATACAAATATAAACAATAACACAAAGGAAAGTCTAGGACCATATTTTCAGAGAGATGTATATCCTGAAACACCTTGGAAAGCTTACATAATCTATACAGAGGCTAGTACGTTGCTTACTTTTTAAAATATCTGCTGGTGCTCAGTGAAGATGTGAAAGCCACTATCAACACCAGTGAGACTGCGGTGCCACTGTGTGGTACACAGTTCCTTCTCACTCCCTTAGACATGATACAGGCAAATCAGCAATGACTGTTGTTCTCTGATCGTATTACTCTTTCCTCATGTGCTCCCTACTTTTATTGCCTTAACTTTTCCTTCCCTTCCTTCCTCACTCCTGTTGTTCATATTTACACATTTATTTGATATTTTCCACTTACAAGGCAACTTTCACATGTTATGTCTTGTTTTGTTCTCAAGTGAAGCAAACATCATCGCAGCTTTTAAAAGTTAGAAAACAGACCTGAAATGCTAAGTGACCTGTTCAGGACTTCAGAGTAAGGGGATGAACACGAGCTTCACTCTAAATTTTTTGATTCTACACTATGGTTTCTCCATGCTCATAAGAGTTTGCTGTCGGTCATTTTTCTCCCTCTCACCTCTTCTTTCCTTCTTTCCGTAGGTGGTGCTGCATCATGCATGCTCTCCACAAGTATTTGTGTCGCCTACTTTGTCCTTTTTCTCCCCATTCTTCAGCCCCTCCCCTTGCTTATCCCTTCTCTTGGCTAATTGCCACTTATCCTTTAGCTATCAGCATGCATATGCCTCACCAGCAGACTTCCAGAAACACAGGTTCGGTTCAGGAGAAGGCACCTTGCCTGTGTGCTCGCAGAACATCCTATCTTTCCCAAGGAGAGGGCTCAAGATCCAAGACTTCATGACTCCTTGAAGACAGGGAGTATGGCTAGCTTATTCAATACTGTGATGCCTGCAACAGATGCAAATCCAGTTTCCAAACCTTACCAACGGCAAATCATTTGATTATAGAAATGGGTAGGACAACATAAATAAGGAGGGTGCTGAAAAAATCTCTCTCGATAGTTTGACAATGGAAAAATTCAGATGAGCCTGAATCTTTCTGGAAAGACAGAATGCTATTTCCTTAAAATACTGGAATCCCTTCTACTTTACCCTGCCTCTAAAATGGCCTGAACAGCACAATCCATCTCCCTGCATTTGTGTTAAATAGATGATATAACTGTTTAAATATCACAATTCCTTTCTTTTACCATGAAGGCAAAGAGATGCTGGCTATCATGGGTTTTTCACATAACAATTTCCACTTGAAACCTATTTCACTATTACATCATGCCGTTTTAATGAAATATATCAAACCTAAAGACAGGAATAGAAAATAGCAACCACCCATATACCTATTATTCAATTTTATCAAACCATAACATTTTGTCATATTTAACTTTTTTAAAATAAAACATTATAAATACATTTGAAATACGGTTTACACCTCTCCCTAATACCACTTCCCACTCCCTAGAAAAACATTATCCTGAAGTTGATGTATACTTTTTGAAAATGTATTTATATTAAAAATATACAGGATTAGTTAGTTGGTGTCTTACATATTACATGAACTATGCATTTGGCAATATGGCAGTCAAGATATTCTAACAAACTTTGCTACAACAGAGCAGGAAAGGCTTAATAAATTACAACAAGAGTCCCTTTAAATACATATTTGAGTTCATGCATAAGTAGGGGAAATCTGGAGGTATGAAAAAATAGAGGTGAATCAAGATAGTGAGTCCTAAAGTCCAGCTGGAAGAATGGTAATCATGAATCCTGCATAAGGCCAGAACTTTGTGCTATACTCTATTTCTCTATACGTATCTTTGTTGACAATTTAAAATGTTAGATTTTAAAAATTATTTCCCATTTGAAAAAGCTCCTGGTGGTTTTCTTTTGTTTCCCCCTGATTACTAATAAAGATAAGCATCTGTTCATGTATTTATTGGTCATTCTATATATATCATTTGCCACCTTCATGTTCACCCATTTTTCTCTTAAGCTGCAATTTCTGTTTGTTTATTTGGAGGAGTTCTTTATAAATGCCAAATGTGTATTTGACATACCACTGGACTCCTGTTAGAATGGCTGCAATTAAAATGACTAACCCTATCAAGTGTTGCTGAAGATGTAGAGCAACTGAAATTTTCATAGACTACTGGTGGGAATCTAGATGGTGCAACCACATCAGAAAATAGTTTAGCAGTTTTTTTGCTTTGTTTTGTTTTTTAAGTCAAACTTAGCCCTACTATTTGATCTAGTCATTTAGGTATTTACTCAAGAGGAATGAAAACTTAGGACCCAGAAAGGCTCATACATGAATGTTCATATATGCTTTACTGGTAATAGCAAAAAACTAGAAACCATCCAGATATCTATCAATGAGTATATGGATAAACAAGTCATGGAATGGAATACTGATTAACAATAAAAAATAATCAACTACTGATATACACTATGACATAGATGAATTTCAACATAATTATTTTAAGTAAACCAGCCAGATAAAGAAGAGCACATATTATAAGATTCCATTTATACAAACAAAAAAATGCAAACTAATCAGAAAGTAGATCACATGTTGCCTGGGGTGATATGTGGTAAGGGCAGAAGGAAAGGACCACCAAAGAGCAGGAGGAAACTCCTGGGGACAATGAAGGTGTCATGTATTGATTCTGCTGGTAGCTTCATGGCATGAACTTCTAAGATGTCAAAACTTGGGCCGGGCACGGTGGCTCACGCCTGTAATCCCAGCACTTTGGGAGGCTGAGGCGGGTGGATCACGAGGTCAAGAGATCGAGACCATCCTGGTCAACATGGTGAAACCCCGTCTCTACTAAAAA